AGCTCAGGATAGCATATGCAGAAGTACTAGTAATGTGTGGGACATGCAGTTTGGGGTGCTCCTGTTCATTATTCCAGAAAGCCAGACCAAGCCTTGCCTTCTCTTCCCGCCTCCCCTTTTCTGCTCCTGCCAGCATCCCATGCCCATTTAGTATACTCAGCCTTCAGGGGGTTTCCCCACCCTGAGTGTCTCCCTCCCCACCACTTAACCATTTTTTCCTTTGACCCCATTCACACCATACATTTACAGCGCTATGATACCACTTTAAACAGGCATGGCTTCCCCAAAAGAAGTCTGGGAGCTGTAGTTTTTGTGTGTGTGTGCTGAGAGTTCTTACGAGGCACCAATGGTCTCATGGAGCTACAGTTCAAAGTGTGGTCTAACACTCAAGCCCTCTCCCCAGGGAATTGTAGTTCTGTGAGGGGAAGAGGGGCCTCTTCAGTCCAAATATAACCTCATTCGTACACACGTACGCACGCACACACATATGGGCAACCTTTATATCAGGGAAAACACACTCATGGTTTTCTACAAAGAATCCTGGGAACTGTAGTTTCTTAAAAGTGCTGAGAGAGTTGTTAGGAGGCCCCTAATCCTCCCCTGAACTAAAATTCCCATGGTTCCCTAGGAAAGAGAATTGCCTGCTGAACTGCTCCAGGAATTGTAACTCTGTGAGGGGAATAGGGGTCTCCTAACAACTCTTTCACTTGGGACATGGGTGGCGCTGTGGGTTAAACCACAGAGCCTAGGACTCGCCGATCAGAACGTTGGCAGTTTGAATCCCCGTGACGAGGTGAGCTCCCGCCGCTCGGTCCCTGCTTCTGCCAACCTAGCAGTTCGAAGTGCAAGTAGATAAATAGGTACCGGCGGGAAGGTAAATGGCGTTTCCGTGCCCTGCTCTGGTTCGCCAGAAGCGGCTTAGTCATGCTGGCCACATGACCTGGAAGCTGTACGCCGGCTCCCTCGGCCAATAAAGCGAGATGAGTGCCGCAACTCCAGAGTCGGTCACGACTGGACCTAATGGTCAGGGGTCCATTTACCCTTTACCTTTTTAACAACTCTTTCAGCACCCTTGACAATCTACAGCTCCCAGGAATCTTTGGGGGAAGCCATGACTGTTTAATATGGTATTGTAATGTTTTAAATGTATAGTGTGAATTCATACCTACAGACCTTGAGGCTCTCCCAGGACTTTTGATATTTCCTCTTTGTATTGCCTACATAAGAATCAACACTTGCTATTAGTATGTTGTCGTTGTTGTCATTGTCATCTTAGGTCCCATCTGCACCATACATTTAAAGCAGTATTGTAACATTTCAGCAGTCATGGCTTTCCCCAAAGAATCCTAAAAAGTGTGTTTGTTAAGGGTGCTGAGAGTTGTTAGGAGACCCCGATTCTCCTATACTTCCAAGAGTAGCTTAACGCAAGTTTTTCTTCCCAGGGAACTCTGGGAATTGTAATTTTGTGAGAGGAATAGGGGGCTCCCTACCCACTTTCAGCAACTTTAGCAAACTACAGTGCCCAGGATTTTTTTTTTTGGGGGGGGGAGAACTGTGACTCTTTAATATTATGATAATGATTTAAAAATATAGTGCAGATGAGGCCTTAACAAGCAGTGGCATGCGGCAGCAGAAACACTCCAAACAGCAGCAGACATCTGAGAGCCATTCTTTTTAATTTCAATTTAGAGTTGCTCTGAGTAACTATGAGAAATTAAAATGGTAGCTGCAAGACCAGCCACCCAATGCTGATCGTAATACTGCATTTTTTTAAAAAAATGGCTTGCAATGACATTTAGTATTTGACAGTGCTTGATAGCTGAGAGACCAATAGCGTTTAGTAATTAGCAACAGATATATACTGGATTTTGTGCTATACTTTGTCAGCTAACATGCAATGGCAGTTAGTATCTGATCGAATTGAAATGAAACCTTCCAATGAGAGTGATTACTATGACAGCTGAAACCTTACATGATTTCTAAGGGCTTGGCCACACTTAGCTTTTGCCCTGTTCTTTCCAGGCACAGCTCTGCGCTTTAATACTTCATGTCTGACCGTGCTTTTGTTTTTGGGCTTCCCCACAAAAACCTACTCTTTAAAGTCAAATTGGAGCAAAATTAAGTTCAGGCTTTTCACGGATTGACATTTGTCCCGCCTGAGCTTTCAAGAGCGGGCAAACATTTTGGATCCTTTTCACAGCAAGCCCTTTAAAAAAATCCTCGCAATCAAAGGTGCGTGTTTTACTACTGCAATTCCCACCCCCAAAAAATATGAGCCCCCCACCACTGCCTAGTTTGGGTTACACACTCCAGGATTTCAGTGATGGTTCCCAACGATGGAATAATATTTCTAGTCTGGATGAAATATGCCAATGAAATCTCCACTGGCCCTCTTGGAAAGTGCCATTCAGGATTTAGGAGTTACCTGCATTCGGTTTTTTGCACACAGTGCCTTGCATATTATTGATTCTTCACCGTATAACGTCATTAAGTTGTATAG